AAGAAATCAATGGAAGGAAAATCAAACTAATTGAAGGCAGCAAAAGGCACAGGTATGGATTTCTGTTCTCTTAAATAATGCTTAAATACTCATTGAGAAAGCTTTGAAGTCAGTGACCAGGCAACCGAACTGGAGACCAGCGAATTGCCTGGTTATTGTCATCCGTGACGTCCCATTGCTAACACCGATGCTCTTTGTTTCCTCAGTAGGTCCAGAAGCAGGTCACGGTCTCGTAGCAGAAGCTCATCCAGGTCTCGTAGCCGTTCCCGTTCCCGCAGCCGCAAGTCTTACAGCAGGTCAAGGAGTAGGAGCCGTAGCAAGTCTCGATCAGTTAGTAGATCTCCAATGCCAGAGAAGAGCCAGAAACGTGGTTCTTCCAGTAGATCTAAATCCCCATCATCTGTGGATCGGCAGAGGTCTAGATCGAGGTCCAGATCTGTTGACAGTGGCAACTGAACTATAAGTAACTTGCCCTGGGGGCCCTTTTTTAAACCATACTTGCTAAAACTTGTGGTAAGTATGTGACTTTCTGTGGGGAAGGGTTTGGATGGGGAGGGGGGAGGGATGGGGGAACTTTGTAGATGTGGACCATGGTGGGAAGGGTTATTGACTAATTGTATTAAATGTTTTTTGATAACCCTTTTCTTGCTCACATTTTTTTGTGAATGTCTGAAGTGTATAGTTTGTGTATATTGGCAGAGCTCTTTATAACTAAAGCAGACAAATTTTTTTGTACTCCAAAAAAAGTCATCTGAACACTTAATTCCCAGTATATTCAACTGTGAATAGCAACTCAGAACATTAGTTTAATATCTCAAATTAAACTAATAGCTTTAGGCATCTAAGAGCTCTACATGTGCTGTACATAAAGCTTTATTTCAGAGAGTATTTTTTTGTGCTTTTGAACCATTGTTTCAGTTATAGGTCGGCAGATTAAGTGCTGGTCAGTACTGGTAATAAAACTTTATTTTAAAAGCTTTTCATTTAATACAATTTGCACTACACTAAGAAAATGCCCATTTCACTGCCCTGTGGTAATAATATTCTCTAAAGCACCCTAATTCTTGATACTTCAGAATTAAATAGCTCAAATAAAGTATAAAGAAACATGTCTCTACTTCTAGTGTGTTCTTACTGTTAATAAAGTGTTTGTGACCGCGCCTCATGTTGTTGGACAATGTTAAAATGTTTCTTAAAGATGGGTCTACAGCAAAGCTGTCGTTGAGTTTTGAGGGATGTGGGGGAGAACTTCCTTTTAAATACATCATGCTATGTCCTTAGATATCTTTATGTTCTGAAATAAGAATCTTGACAATAAGAAGAATCATGCTGTCATAGTTCATAGCAGAAAGTGGAATGGACAAGTCATTTAATCACTGTTCAGATAATAAGCATGGAGTATAAAAGATGATGTAGTCAGAATGCTTCATTAGTGTGTTTGTGCGCACGTGTATGAGAGAACATTGAGGTGTGCGTAAAGCATTTTCTATAGGCATTAGTCCTCATTCTGGAGGAAGGAGGGATTTTTCAGTTGGTGGGTGGGAGTTCTGCAGCAGTGGCACCCTGCAGTTCTGTGGTTTAGTGTTTGTGCCTTACAGGGGCAGCACCCCTCTGCAGTCCCTGTGTTTCTCAAGCCCTCGCCCATGTTGCAAGAGAGCTTTAGAATTTAATTTTTAAAAGAATATGTTTTCTTATAAAGTGCTTTGCAAAGCTGCTCTGGTAATCCACTGAAACCTTTAGAAAGATCTCTGGGGCCTAGGATGGGCTTCGGATTAGGTCCTAGGAAATGGCAGGTGGTTCTGTTCAGAGCGAGGTCTGGCCGTGGGGGAGGTTAGTTGTTCGGTGTCTCGGCAGGCCCTGCTGCCTTTTCCCTGTACTGTTGCAGAGTTCTCCGTAAATGTGTTCCAAGCTAACCAACGGGAACGAGCTTTGTGCCTTGTGAGTCTGTGCGTCAAGGTGGCATGGCATCGTGCTGCCGGGCGCTCCTGGGAGGGGGTCAGGCTGATACGCAGTTACTGGGATTGTTACTAGTCAGCTTTGGGGAGTGGGAGCTTCAGTCTCGGAGGTTAGTAGTTCAGGTGCTGGGTCATCCTAAGAGGAAGAACAGAGCTTTAACTTCTAGGGGTAAGGGCAGCATTGACACTCATATGGGTGGAAGGTTAGCTGCGTTAGCTCATGGCAGTTGATCTGTCCTGCTTACTTGAATGATCATGGGCATCTGTGTTCCAGTGGGACTTGGCTCCAGCAGGAACCCAGGTGGCTGAAGGCACCTGATGATTGGAAAGGGGTGGGATTTCAGACACTTCCCTCCCTCAGGCTAATTATGAAGTACTGCCTGCTTCATAAATAGCTGTTCCGAATTCTCTTTCTAAACCATACCACTTGCCTTGCAAGCAGCATCAATAGATTTCTGCAGCCAGGGGAGCTGGCTGTTGTGATGACGAACTTTCAGTTTAAAACAAACTCCCAGGCTTTGCATTATGGAGGGTTACGCTGACTTTCGGCCAGAAACGTTTCTGCCTTTGTGAAGCGTGGGCTCTTGGTATGAGCCTGTTTATTCCTAGTTGAGATGGATTACTTCAGGTTATGATGCATACTTAGCACATTGGAGGTGTTAATGCCAATCTTGTATTTGTAGTGTGACAATAGATGGTGGCCTGAAGAGCTGTTGTATTTAGTTCACTGACTCCTACAATGCAAGGCACATTAAAGGCTCATGTATTTTCAGAGGTACAGCATGCTGAACCCAAACTTGATGTACTAAGGCAGTTTGCGTGGCCGTGTTGGTTTTGTGGCCTCCGCTATGTGGAGGGCAGTGGTACACGGCACAGTGCTCGGGTTTTGGAAAAGGGGGGTGACCGGCAGCCCATGGGCTGCTCAGCTGTACGCTGGGTCTTGGTGGCTCCTGCACTGAGAAACTTTCACATCTCATTTTGGGTCTTTGTCGGAGAAACTACATTAATCTTCAGCGATGCCTTCGGGAGCTGCTTCCAACACGTAAAGCGGAACAATTACAGGTAAGTGAGATTAAAAAAGGGAACTGATGCAGGCAATGATTTTCATGTGGACAAAACTGGGGGCAGTCGCTTGGAAGCGTGGCGCTAAACTGTCGCAAAGGGTTGTCACGATGACTTGGAAGTCACTGGAATTGTCCCTTGTGGGCAGGCAGGGAGAGGCTTGGTCCATGGAGCAGGGTCTTTGGGAAATAACAGTGAGGGTGCAGATAGCTCTGTGGCGATCCCTTTGTCTGGCGTAAAATGAGCATATAGATAGAAGTCTCACACAGAACTGCTGGAGACCTGTAAGTGAGCTGCAGAAGGTGGAGCTTGGGGAGGTTGTGATAGTGTCTGCCGCAGAATCCGTGTGTATTGTTTTCCTGGTTTCTCACTGTTTCTGCAGGGTCTTGACACTGGTTTCGTTTCTTGAGCAGTAACTGTGTCCACAGCTGCGCAGATCATCTTTGCTGCATCTGAAGGAAAGGAAAAATGTGAGAATAGGCAGTTCTGAACCCAGGTTATGGAAAGATTGTGACACAGCTACAATTGGTGTTGCTGGGTGATTTAAAGCAAAAGGAAGGAACTTGGAAGCCCTGCCAAAATACTTAAGCCATTTTGTTCCAGTCATTTATGAATCAGAGCCTGGAAAGCCACCCCTTTTATAGTAGTCTTGCAAGCACCTGTATGGCTGTATCCAATATCAACTGCTTTGCACTGAAGGCACACCTGACGATACAAATTGAGTGGGTTTTTTTTCCCCGTTAACAGTCATCCTTCAGCTATAGCTATAAGATACAGTACAGTGCTCCTATAGCAGCTGCTCAGCTGCTTCTCTGTCCCAAGGGACTGGAGAAAGCTGGTCTGGAAGCATCAGAGTAATGACTGGTGGAGAATCATTCAGCGGTGCATTCTCCAGCCATCTTCACAGGCACTCAGCTGGCTTTGGCATTATGGACCTGTTGAAGTTGGAGAAGAGTCTACCTCACATCTATACCAATTATATATTTTAATTAACCTTGAAACTATTTATGTACTTTTCTAGCAAAAGACCCACGATTCCTTCCTTCAACTGCAGTACTTGGCAGTTCTGTCCTTTTCCTCCCCACCCCCCACTGCAAAAATGACACCCTTCAGTCAATCTCTCAACAGTTTACAGCAGAGCTGGAATTTGTTGCATTAAAGAATATCTGATGTTCTCGTGTAGTTTTAGGGGTGTGTGACTGTTTACATGTGCTCTGTACAAGCCATAGCTTTTGCAGGATGCCCGTCCTAGTTTAAGCACAGGACTCTGAAAACCTCTGAGCACTGATAATATAGATAATATATAGCTATATGAAACATTCTGCTGATACAAGAAGTCATAATTTCTAATGTCTTCAGTTACCTGTGAATTTTTGACTGTCATTGTATTTAATGCATTGGGTGTGGTAACTGAGTTAAAGGGCAACCTGATTCTGCCCTAGAAAACAGCAATTCATTGGTAATTACATGTAAGCATATGTGGTTTGGATTGAAAAGTGTAAGAAATACAGGAGCAAAGCTGTACTTGCCATTTGGTTTCATTATTCTGTCACGGATCCTGAAGACCAGGACCAGCAGAAGTCCCTCTCCAAGCTGGAACACCAAGTAGAGCAGTGGGAAGAAGTACAGGGGGCCGATGATTTCTGGGGCAAAGGCGACCTTGAGGATAGTTGAGCAAAGCTGTACGTTCTGGCAGCCGGTTTCCATGCACACTGTTCGCCTGCATCTGAAGGAGGAAAAGTTAAACGGATCGCAGATTTAATCCACTTTCAAACAACTTAAAAAGAACCCTGCCCACCTTGCTGTTGCAATGCTTCGTGCATTTGCCTGTGCTAAAAGCTGCTGTCTCAGGAGCAATACTGGGATCCCTAGAAGGTTTTACCTCGTGCTCCCTTTGCAAAGTGCAGACAGATCACGTTATAAACGTGGACTTCGTGTTTAATGGTATTTGGAGGCCTTGTGTCACACTCTGGGCGCTGCCGTTTCCCGCAGGGAAGGAATCTGCTTCTGAGGTGAAAAGAGGAGTCCAAGGTGTGAAAGTAAAAAGTAGTGAGGACTAGCGGGCTTCCTACCTGGATGAGGTAGGATGAGAAAGGGAAGGGGTGGGTTTTATATGCAAGGTTTCCACCCTGAATTCCTGGGGCTGCACTGACTGGTTTGGGGTAGTTATTAGCTGAGGAACAGTTGTGTCACCTGGGGTTTGGGCTCTGTTGATATTCCCTAATTCTTGGTTGTTCTTTGGTGCTATTCATTCTCTTCTTCCCTCAGCTTCATTACTGAGAGCAGAGGCTGGTAATGTACGCTTAGCAGGTCACTAGTGACCTTAAATCAAAACCATCCATCTGCTTGTCCAGTGAACCTGCATAATGGACTTCCACCCCTTCCGAGGTGATCAGGCACCTGTGTCAAAAACTGCTCCAGCTGCTCCTCCCCTCTCCGCTGAGCCGAGCAGAGGTTGAACTCATTTCTCTCCCCACTCAAGGTGTAGGGGTATTGACCTGGGACCAGCTTGCAGCGTGTCTGCTCGTACTCCTAGGGCCCATTTTGGGAGGCTGCAGTCAGTGTTTATTTTACAAAAGTACATCCATGTTGAAACCTGTGTTTTCACCATTGCTCCATAGACCAGAGCTGTTGTACCTCTCTGTTCCTTCTGGCGACAGAGAGTGCGGGCAGGGGGGAGTGGAGGAACATACCTGTCATTAAGCTTGAAGATTGCGGAGAGAACGTAGACAAGCAGGAATCCAATCAAAGGCATCAAGGCAGAAGATCCCAGGAGGGATGGCGAGAAGACGACCGTGATACTGCTTCCCACATTGGCCACAGACAGAACAATTATTGCAGCAGATGACAGCAGAAGCACAACCATCCCTGCCTAAAATAAAAGCGGTCAAGACATGGACAAGATACCCAGGAAAATTTGTTGGAAGCGGCTGCCCAGTTCCCTGTCCATCGTATGTTAAGTACATAGTGAGAGCGCGCAAGTGCTTTTCATGGACATAACTAAATAACAACGTATCTTTCTGGTCTACAGGCAAAACGACTGGTGCTTGTTCCACCAGCCACTTGTTTCTCAGGCATTGCTGTGTGTCTCCCCGTTCAAGTCCCTTTGGGGGTCTAGCGTGACATCCCGTCACCCAAAGCGGGTCGGGGGGAAACCACTGCACTCACAGGCAGCGCCTGCCTACAGCCGCTGGGGAAGGTGGTGGCTGTGTTTTCAGATCATCTCACTGGTGTCTGGTGATTCAGCAGATGAAGGGCGTGGGGAATTTTGGGAGGCAGAATACACAGCCCTCCTGCCTGTGTCTCCACTTTGGAGCCCAATTTGGATGGAGTTCCCCAGGTGTTTTTTCAAAGCAACTCTCTACCCCCTTCCTATTTTGTAGAGAAGATAAATGGAAAGGTGGTGTTAGCAGAAAGGAAGATGAACCAAGGGTCAGCTGGGCTGGTGTAGGTCACCTTCTCACACCAGGCTTCTAAAGCTTCTTTTGAAACAGTCTGGTCATCACTGCCCTGTGCTGGGTAAAGGAACCTTTGAAGAGCTCTGGTCCTCCTGCATCTGCTCTAGCCTGACTGCCGGGTTCCCGTGCTTCTTGGAGGTTAGTGATTCCTAATGTCACTTTATCAGGTCTGTTATTGAGTCTTGGCACACATTTCCGGCCGTGCTTGGTCCCAGTTTCTCTGAGATGAAGCCTTAGTGAAAGAAACTATGAAAAACAGGTTTACAAAGTTGTTAGCAGCTCTCTGGGTACTGCTAGTGGAGCTCCTGAGCCGGACAATGGTGTGGTTGGTTATCCAGATTTCCCTTTTGCTGTTTAAACGCCTGATGTACAAAGGAGGCAGGGAGATGATTCCAGGCATAAGTGGACGCTTAGTGATCTAGTGGCTTCTACTGGACAGGTGTCTCATTGATGTAAGCAGCAACTTTATGATGTGACTTTTGCCCTGTGCTAGACCTCTGAGAACTGCGGGGTAGAGTTTTTTGTTTGTTTGTGGGTTTTATGGTTTTAGGTTTTTTTGGTTTTGTTTTGTTTTGTTTTTTTTTTTAATCTGGGGTCTGCTTTGGTTACAGCAGTAGTTGGGGCAGTGCCTATGAGGTTCATTAGTGCTACCTGTAGCAAAAGAAAATTAAGTTAAAACTGAAGCCAACAAAGGAGAGCAAGGTAAGAAGTTGCCTACAAAATGTTGCTTGTCTGGAAAAGGTGGAGGACTTTGGGCAAATATTTTAATGATTAAAGTGGTGAAGTGGATATGTCTTGAGTTCTGTCCTCAACCCTTTCATTGATTTGTGGCATGCCTTAAAGAAGTTAATATTTCTGTGCCTCTATTTTTGAAAACTTCCTTGAGGCCCTTGGTTGAAAGGCAACTAGCACAGGATACTTCTTACCTTGATGGTAAAGCCAGTGTACTGTGGTTTCTTCTCATTCAAGATGATGCCGATGGCACAGGGGATTAGCATTAGGACCAGGGAGGTGATTATTCCTTTGTAAGGCACCTTGCCCTCCAAATCACCCTCGTATAGTCCTCCCGAGTAAAGGTACAGAAGCAGAGGCATTAGTCCAATTGCCAGGACCGTTGAGCATGTGGTCATTACAATGCTGGGATGAAGAAAGGACTCTTCAGGAGAAGAATAGCACTTTTTTATCGAATACGCTCATTTTTCTTACTCACATGGACACACGGTTTTAATATAGACTTTATCTCGCTCTTTCCCAACCTGTCACTGAGGTTTTCCCATCGCTATCAGGTTGTATAAGGATGTGATATGAATAGAGAGGGGGGAAGATGATTCAAGTTCTATACCAGCTCAGAAAGGACCCTCGTTATGGGTACAGCTCGCACTTCAGAAATTCACAAGTGACAGAGAAAGTAATACTTCGTATTTCCCCCTTGGATCTTGTTTTGTCGCTAGGGTTTGTTGGATTGTGGGGTTCTGCTAGTTCAACGTTTCTCACTGATGCAGCCTCTTCAGACAGTGTGCTCAGTTTACACGACTATATGCTGCTATATGGGTAGATGTAGTAGATATATGCTACATGTACTGGGGAGGCAAAAAAGTGTTCCTGCGCCCATCTCATTAAGAGCAGCATGCCGTATGCTTCACAGAAAGGTACAAAATCCCATTTTATTGTAAAACAGGGACAAATAGTCTCATTGAGCAATATGGGTCCTTTAAAAATATTCTAGACTTAGTATTTTTCAGTCTTTATCCAGCTTCTTGGGGATTGATAATGCTGATTAAGCTAGCTTCTGAACTAGTTATATGACTAGATTGGCCTGGGCAATGAACACGTACTCAGCTTGCCTTACCTGAGGTTCATGTCCCCTCTTAGTGCCAGGCTAAAGATGTTGGAGAGGTTTCCCCCTGGGCAGCAGCCGCAGATGAGGATGGCCAGGGATTCTGTAGCACCCAGCTGGAAGAGCTTGCCCAGTACGAATGCTGTCAAGGGCATGACACCATACTGAGCCATTACAGCAATTGCCACGCCTTTGGGTTTCCTGAGGTGAGTTGTGATCTTGGCTATCTCCATCGTGCACCCCAGAGATACCATGATGACAAAGAGGACCACAATAAGGATCACATTCAGGGCTTTGTCCGTGGCGTGCTGGCCGAATGCAAATGGTGGTGGTGCCACACTGGTCAAGGAGGTGCTCTGCGTGCCAGCTGGGCTCCAAAGCTCTGGGCTCTCAAAAGCTCCCTTGGTCTCGTTCATCTTGCTGAAGGGCTTAGAGGTCCCTTCTGTAAGTGACTGGGAAGGTGAGGAAGGGATTGATCCAATTAATGCAAGAAAACATGAGCTTTCCTTCAGGCCACCGCTCTCACTGTTCAGCAGCTGTTGAAACAGAAATCCATCTTTGAGCAATCAGCTGTGAACCCCATTCACTTCAGTAATACGTTGTGCAGTTTGTGTAGCTTCTGCTCTGGTGCCCCACCTCTTCCAGCATCTGCTCTCACCATGAGAATGAGGACATAGCTGGAGAGAGCGAGAGGGAGTCTCGCTCAAAACTGGTAAAGACTGGCACTTCATAGAAAGGAAACTGAACCAGAACAACTCTTTGTCCACAAGATACTGCTGAGGCCAACGCTTACAAACAGGATGCATCCAGGGGACTTTATTTTTAACAAGGGTTATAAAATGCTTATGCTTCTGGCCGTAAATGAATCTCTCAATAGGAGGGCTAGGAAGAAACTTCCTCCATGGACAAGTAGTTTCTCTAGCAAACTCTTAGGAGCCTTCATGTCTCTTTTCCTGATGCGGTAAGTCTGACACTGTCTAGACATTTTTTGATTGCATATAAGAATGAATTCCCCAAGCCTCACCAACATCCAAAATATTATTCTCTCCATAGCATTGAGGGGAAATTCTGTGTGGCAGGAGCAGCCTCAACCGACCTCTGCAGTGCGAAGCTGTGCTCGCTGCAGCAGCTTTCAGGGCCCGAGGTGCTTTGCATCATGATCCAGCGAGCGGTGCATTTATCACCCAAGCTCTCCAAGCAAAGCCAAATAGGCAGCTTTTACCCACCCTGGACTGTAACCTGCCTTGTGCTTTAAGTACAAGGCTGCACAGCGCGACATGCACCCAGAGCTCTGGTGTGCAGGGAAGGGGGAGCTGGGCGGCTGGTGCTCGGGCAGGAAGAGGGACTAGAGCGGTGGCTGATGAAGATTGCTCCTCCAGCTGCTGCAGAGGTGACCTCTGCTCATGCCCCCACTGCTCCCTGTCCCCTGGCTGCACAGGGGACGCACTTCCCAGCATCTGCCACACTGGGGAATGGCATATTGCCTGCCCCATCCCCAGGTGCTACCCTCCCTGATCCCTCTGCAGGTTTTGCCTTCATTTAAGGCATTTATTGCCTTCAAATCGACCTGAGACAACCCCTAGTTCTGGTGTAGGACTCTAGAAACGTACTGAGCTGAGCACATTAAACTAGAGCAAAGTCAACGCCATTACCTTACATGCCTGCGGATGAGGCTGCAGGAGGCTTCCATGAGATTACCCGCTGCTCCATCCCTTCCTGGCCAAGCTCGGTGAGTGATAGCACTCTTCAGTCTTTCTGCTTCAAGAAAACCTTTCCCCCTTGGCAAAAATCTTGTCCTCTGCTTGCAGAATATAAAGCCTAGGTCTAAAAGAACCTTGTAGATAGGGAAGTTATTAATTGATAGTTGTGTTATAGGACTGCAGTCTTCTTCCTTCTGCTGCAGGACTGGGGAAGGGATTTTAATTAGGGAGGTCTGCTGCAATATGGCTGAGCTCTAAACCCTTTGCTGAAGGGCATTATAATGCTGCAGCAATGTGTCCATCGCTCCTATTCATCTGGGAGCTCAACAGGCTCAACCTCTCCAGCCCCATTGCTCTGGAAACGTCGCTAGCGGCAGGCAGGAATGTCGGAACCGTTCTTCCCCACTTGCTCTCATTTTGATTGGGAACTTTGTTTTCCAGGCTGGCAGCCAGGACGGAAAAGCACCCACAACAGCTCTGGAGCCCAGCAAGGGGCATCCCCCACGGGCAGGGAGGAGCGGTGCCCGCAGCAGTGCGGGACGGAGCCGTGCCGGCAGATCCTGGTGGCTCTGTGTGTCCATGCCTGTGGCTTCTCCTACACCCTCGTGAGCACCACACCGCCATGCTTGGGAACAAGGGCCCTCCCCATAAATCGCAGGTGGTGCTTCGAGACCTCTCTGTCGCTGTGGTGGCAGAGTACTGCCCAGCCTCGTTGCCTGGGCCCTCCTAAGCAAAGCAGGAGGCGGTGGCCTGCAGTACTGCACACGTTTCATTTTTCCCTGGGCATCTGCAAGATTTCCAGGCACAAGTAAGGGCTGCCCAAGCAGCACATGAACAAGGCCCATAGGAATTAGGAGAAAATGCAGGAGCAAAGCCCACGGCAATTCCTTCTCTCTTTCTCTCCCTCCCTTCAGGTTTTTCTCCCATAGATGCCCACTCATCCTACAGAAATGCTTGTTTTCACTGTGTTTGCCTTTTAGCTGTGTGCTGAATTTTGTCAGAAGATGCAAGAAAGGTCAAGTCAAACAATTAAGCGGTTATAAAGCATCACTGCCTCGGCAGCGCTCAGGCCCCCCTGGCAAGCTCAGTGCAGCTCAGGGTTTTAAAACAACGATGTTGTAACGTCTCACCCTTTGTCTTTGCAGGGCTGTAGAAGAATGTTTCAACTACCCCAATAATTAAAAAAATGCCTGCTAGTTGTTTGCTCTTCAAGCGTTCCTGCTGGTTCCCAGTAGTTAACACAGGAAACGCCATGGGAACCAAGGGAGAGACTGGTCGAGAGAAGCAGAATAAATTAGCATCATTATTTCACCCTGATTCACGCTGGGGACGTCCAGTTGTTTTACACGGGCACTGGAGCTGGGGATTTGTGTTCAGACATGGCCGAAGAGCCGCATCTCAGCTCTAAAGCCACTGCTTGACCCGGGACCTGGGAGGTGGGACCGCCGAGGAGCATGGCTGGAGGAAGGAGCGGGCTCCCATGCCGGGAGGCAGTGGGGCCCAAGCGGTGCATGGGCATTCTGCTGGTAGCCTGCGATGGGCTGCTGCTGACCTGATGGCCACGTCATCCACCTCGGTTCAGAGGAGGCTTTGGCCTCGCCAAGCGAGGCCCTAGTTTCATCCCTAGGCAAAGCGTGCCTTGTCCTTCCTTTGACCGCTTTCCGAGCTCAGTTCTTAAAAGGTAAATTTGTACATGTTCTTTAAATGGTCTCCTTGTTTTCCCCTCACGGCCCAAATATGCTCAAACAGCTATCCCCCAGTGCAAAGGCCTCTCTGCCTTCGCCTGTGCCCTTGCTGTGCGTGAAGCTAAGGAGCTTGGTGACAGGTCCTGCACAGCTCATGCCACTTGAGGGCAGTGGTTGCATGCCCAGAGCCTCGTTGCTCTCGGAGGATAAAAGACCTCATCAAACAAAAAAGTCTCACCGTAGGTGCCATGATTAGATCGTTTTTATTAAGTCAGATACTCCCAAATTCAGAGATACGGTCTAATACAAAATACAGGATGCTTAACAAATGTGAGGCATTAAAGGAGATAGTTAAACCCCCCCCCCGCATACAAGTTTGCAGATTTCCTGTTGGAACTCAAAATGAGCTGTGTTGTGGACTTCTTGTTTTTTAAAGACACCTAAGGAGTCAGTGCTTCATGCTTTCACAACGCAGCTTCATAAATTCACTGGACAACTATGAAATGGCTCACGTGCCCCTTTCACCGGTGGGGAGCTGAGGTCCAGTTTTCCAGTTTGCAGCTGGGATCGTCAGTTCTTCTGTGTTTTTACAGAATGTCACATAACTTGAGCTGAGCCCAGTTGTTACCCAAAGGCCATACTTCAGCAGATGTGCCCGATAAGAGCAGCAGTGACTTGATTTGTGCCAGATTTCACACCATCTTGGCCCACAATCTGAGACAAGACCTTGGCATCTGGTACCCATATTTTGCTCAGGTAAGGTTTTTTCACTGTATGGTTATGTGCTTGGCTAATGAATTTGCTCATTTCTGTGTGCTTTTGAGGCAATTTGCCCACCATAGCCCTGACCACACGGCGGGCACTGTGCTGGAGCGTGGGTTGAAGAGGGAGGGCTTCTGCAGGGACAATCACGACTTGGCATGATTTGTTCCAGCTGTGGCTCTCCCACACTACCACCAAAACCCACCATAGGTTTTGGTCCTATCCATGTTTTTTCACTTCTGTCATCACCTGACCCACTTAAATGGGATGCCCCTCAATTAAAATCTAGGTCTGGTCTGCCCTGTCATGGGGAAAGTTGTGTGTTTGGGGTGGTGGTTAGCTCTGCTTGTCTCTGAGCCCACTGCGATAGGGTCAGAAAGGAGAACAAATTGACCGGATTTGTCTTGAGACGCAAACCACTCACCACCTGGCGAGGAGCAGCCTGGACACGAGCTGCCACATACTATTGGCCGGGCAGCCTGATGCCACGGTGATGGCCACACTCCCCTCTCCTCACCCCCACGCCGGGTGCCATCGTGTTGCCATGCCAGCTCCATGTTGGGGATGGCTACCCGGCGTGTCACAGGGAAGGGGCACATCTGGAGCGGGACAGGGCAGAGGGGGCTGGAGAGGCTCCCCCAGCTCTGCACAGTCCTGCCGGCTCC